CTCCTCCTCCTCCTTCTTGTTCTTGTTCTTCTTGTTCTTGTTCTTCTTGTTCTTGTTCTTGTTCTTCTTCTTTACAAGTGTTACTTTTAACGGAACACCGGGGAACAGCGGTTATATTTTTAAAAAACCAGGGAAACATTCGTCCAGGGAACAGTGGCTACGTCGTCTTGGTGGTAATACCTCGTCTTGGTAGTATTCATCATGGTATCGATAGGGCCCGCCGACAGTAATATTTTTCTTTATAAACTTTTGCATGCTACGTTCTATCGTAAAAATAATATCAAATTCGGAACCAGCTTATCAAAATTATCAAAAATGACTCGCGAGTGACTCTTTTTCTTGCTGGATACATAAGATTGAAAAAAAATTTAAAAAATAGAAAAAGTTTCTAATCACAAAGAGGAAGGACCACTGTCAGTTTTAACCTATCTAACCCCTACTGTCAGAATTGGAAGAGGCGAGCTGTGACGTAGAATCCTTTTGAAGTTTGCCGCCTTGCGGAATCAAACTTTGCTTGCAGAATTTCAGAAATAATTATCGGAGCTAAAAACTGATTTCTTTATTGGAATCAGCGTATTAAAAAGTAAAGTGTTTTTCGTGGAACCTGATTTGATGCCATAATATATCGAAACTTTAGCGAACTTTGTCTCTGAATTATCAATTTTGAATTTGAAGACAAGAATCAAGGCCACCCACCGCATTGTGCATCTGCTGTCACAGCTGCTAGGCCTTCACACTGCACACTGCACTGTACCAAAGACACTGTTATTCTCTTTATTAAGATGTAGGAACCAACAGATTCCACGAATGTTTGCGGACATCAGTTTGCAAGCAGTCACGTTTAATCAAGATGGAACTTAAGACTTTGTGATTGAAAACAAAACAAAACAAAAGAATCTCATAAAAACAGTGTGAGGGAACAAACTTCGGTTTTAAAGCCAGTCCTTTGTCCAATTAAGCACTGTTATAAAACTTTAGAATTGAGACCAAGTTTAACCAAAGATCGTACTTTACAAGATTGTTCACTCAGCCAATAAAAAGTGTCAGCGGAAGTCCGCACTTTGCTTCAGATGGCGCTGCAGTCTTCGTTTTTAAGCTATCTTTCGTTCCTTCTTCAGAGGAATACGTATAGCATAGTTTGTTAGTTTCACTTTTACTGCTTTCACACAAGTAGGGTAACTCTGTTTGCAAAGTCCACGCTTTTTCGAAGAGGGCGCTACAGCATTTTGAGGACACTTTTTTAATTGGCTAAAAAAAGGAGTAAACTATCTTGTTATGTACAGTCTTTGATGTAACACATGTTGTCTAGCTGTAGTCGATACTGAAGGCGATTACACCAATTTAAACTGTAACAGAGAAAGTAAAATATTAGTCGCTGTTCCCCGGTCGCTTTTTCCCGGCCCCATAGCCTTCTTTAAGAGGGAATGTGAACCACGCAGTCGTTTATGTACATGGACTTCTGAATTTAATTTTAATCTCTCATATGACTTAGTGGAAAGAGCCGTTAAACGACCCAAGTTCAAGATTTATTAAACCATTGCTTGTCAACTCTTTTATAACCAGTGCCCACTTTTTTATCTTTCAAGAGGCACAGCTTTTTGTATCGCTCTCCTACATAAAATTATTTCCAAGCACGGCCTACAAAAACACTTTAATTGCCTCGATGCTCCCCACAGCCCACCAAAATTTCCAAACCTCCTACTGATAATTAGGCAATACCAAACGAGGTACGGAAATAGGCACCAGATATTTTTGGTGAGTGTTATTAACGGTGATGCTATCGAATAAGCTTACCTGGTGTGGGTAAATGATTTAATTTTGTTCGTGAGGACCTAACGACTATGCAAAGACTGTTTATTACGACTTTTAAGGGTTATAAATTGACATGGCATCAGAATAAAATTATGAAAATAATGACATATCAACGAAAAATAAAGACCACCCCAAAACAAATAAAAAGCACCAACAAAACAACCCCCTCAACAAAACAAACACACAGAGAACAAACAATCAAACAAACAAACAACCCAATCTGACTCTCGATACTCGGTGAATGGAAAAGGTCTAGCCTAATGCACACTTAAAAATAATTAAATGGATTACCCTGTACCCAAGTACTTTCTAAGAATCGATGCAAACAGCAACAAATGGCGCATATTTCCCACTTCTTCTACTGCATTGCATCAGTAAACAAGCCCTGGTTGAAACAATGGTCACCTTGTTGTGGCCAGGCGTTTAATTAACGGATCTATCGGCACGCCCTCTGGTGGCGGAGAGGCGCTTTTCCCTTTCGTCAACCCGCAGCCATCTCCCGAATCGTCAGCCACCTCCCAACCTTTGACACGGGTCAAATTTCCATCTATTTATAGGTAGATAAGTCTACCGGAATATGTATTAGGCGAAGTGATGTGCAATGATAGTCGCAATAGGGATATTGTTTTGGTCTCTCTTTACTCATCTGCACCACACGAATTTAATTGATGTTTTTCCCTGGACTCTGCCTTTACTAAGCCTTTACTAAAGTCTCGAATCTAGATCTAGTTGTAATCTAGTTGCAGGTTGCAGATTTAATAAATTGCCG